TTATATGTCAATAAAATAGAAAATAACTATTTATTAATGTATATAGTCCATAAATAAAAATAATAAATCAGCTTGTCATTAATTTTTTTCAATTCATTTTAATTTCATTTCAAATTCAAACTGTCCAACAAAAACTGGAGTCAGAGTCGACCTGTTTTTAGCGAATCCAGCTACGACTCCTTTTACCCCAAAATCTGCTCGATTCCCACTCCATGACTCCGATTCCACAGTCCTGCGTTGAGGGTCCATTCCAAGTAAACCCAAATGATAAATAACTTTCATTATATTTTCTATAAACACACTTTCTTTTCACAGGGTTGCCACGCTACCTGGAAAACCGGAAAAAGTCGGGGAATTCGGAAATTGACCAAAAAATTCAGGGGAAAGTCAGGGAATTTAAGTGTTTTAGTCACAATCTGGAAAAGTCAGGGAATTTTTCATACAACGATCCCGCCAAAAAAGGCGAGTTTTGCGCCGACGTCGGAAAGATCACTTTTGTTGGTGATTGTATCATGCGAGTGGCCATTCGGCAGCTGGCATAGAGCCAATTTTTCGCAGCTCCAATTTGATTGTTTTTAGAAAGCAAAGCAAGTTTCCCGCAACATTGGTTTTTCCATACCTCGAGAATCGCATGTGCAGTGCATGAACTAAAGACGTACCTGTTCTCGTATAAACAAATTGGTTTAATCCTAGTATACGGTACATGAGGTTAGAATCAAAGAATAATGTATTATAAAGAAGGAAACGTCTCTGCAACAGACTGCTCCGTTCCATCATAGAGGAACACAGCTGTGCATGTGCGATATATCTGTCGCCAAAGCTCGAACCGGTGTCGAAGTTCGAAGGTCACGTTATCAAGTTCATAAAATGAATATCGTTTAAAATTTTCTTTAAACTCTAAAGGAAAAGAAATATTTTTTGGCGCAATAATTAATTCATGGATTAGTTATTTTGAGGTTAAAAAAAAAAAAAAAAAAAAAAAAAAAAATTACGAAATCCGTTTTTAAAATTTTTTGCGAAAAGTCCAAGAAAACGTTCTTTGATAAAACGTTTTTTCTTGGATTTTTTCGCAATATTAAAACGCATTTTCGTAGTTTTCTTTTTTGTCAAAGAACTTTCTTCTTCTTAACACGTGTTTCTTCAATTTTTTACACATCGCGGAGAGGGAATTCTGCCCGCCAGTTACGTCGCCAAGCCTTTGGCAAATTTTCCCTCCGCTTTCTAGCGGCGTAATAGCATTTACGTTTATGAAACCTTTTCTACTTTACATAGACGTTCTTTGGTTAATATCTCCATGTAATGGTACAGCGTGATTTGGCGACATGATGATGAGCAGTAAACGGCTCTTTTGTTCTTGGCGACAATTTTCAAAATCGTGCCGAAGCCGTAATAACGTATACTAGGATTTTACTGTAAAATCTTTTAAACCTTTCCTTTTTGATAAGTGCCTTTTTTACATGTCGTTTTGCAGTAAAATAAAAAAAAATAGTAATCAGTCATCTAGGCTTTTAACCATATAATATAACTTATGCTAAAATATCGTTGATTATTCTAATTCAATTTTTAAGTAATTATTTTTATGTTATTCATATCATCTAATGTTGCTTCTTCTCTCTAAATTTATTTATCATTAGTAAATAATATTTCCAAATTTTAGGAAATTTTCTCTGGCACAATCCTGAAATTAATTCTAGCAGTATGATGACATACCATCACGAAATTTAATGCACCTATTTTTTCCTTATGTATGCTGCAAAATAAATATAAATACCTCAATTTATTAAAAAAATATCATTAAATAGATTTCTTTCTTTTGTTTAGCTGCAGAATGTCTGCCAAAAAAGCCTTATTTTATTCCAGATTGGGCAGATTCTAATCTCAATCTTTAGTGGAGAAAACAACTCCTATTATAATTATATTTGTGTTTTCAAGTGTTAAGGTGCCTTTTAAAAAGACACCTCACACAAATTAAATTTACCTAAAATCTAATCTAACTATTTAGCATTGCGTTGTGATTTATAAGAACCGGATTAGCCTCGTGTTGAACTGGTGATGATCATGAGTAATAATTAAATAAAACATACATTTGTTATCCAATTTATATATCTTAAATTTTATTAAGTTTCTTAAGTGGAAAAGTAAACAAAGTTATCAAGCAAAGTATACCAAGAATATTAAGAATAAATGTCCTCTGGGATTTATTGAATAATTAAGTGAATTTGCTACACAAACACAATACAAGTAATACCATAATTAATTTACCTTTTAGCGTAGCCAACGTACATTACGCGGATAGACTGGAATTTTCTCGAAACATACCTGGAAAACATGGAAAAGTCAGGGAATTTCATTCTCCTGTTTGAGTGGCAACCCTGTTTTCAGTATTCTTAGTGCTAGTAAATTGTCCTGGATCCATCACTTTTTCGCTTATTCAGTCCTAGCCATTTTTCCATTTTGAAAATCTAGGTTTGTTTTTTTATATTTTCAAAAGTATTTAAATGCACAATATATTATGATTTCTTCAAAAACAAATGACAATATTCTCAAACCACATAGAAAAGTAAAAAATACAAAGCAACGAGAAGACAAAATACCTGCTGTTAGAGATAGCAAATCGACGTAAGAAAATGATTTTAATTGAAAATACAGCGATATGAGCCCGGAAATGGTACCGACATAAAGCGTAGACATGCTAATAAGTTGATCAACTCTAAAAGAATTAACAAAATGAGCTACTTATATGTTTTATAGGAACTTATTTTCCTCTTAAAAACAACCATTTCATTACTACTTTCAAAAATATCAGATTTTGACAAATTTTTAGGTCTATGTTATGGCTAAAAGAATATTTTTGAAAATAAAAACATATTATTTTGCTAAAATCTGTGAGCGGCTATTGACCTAGAACAAAGCTCAAATCACATAAATTTATGACTGTTAGAGAAATAACTTAAACAGGATTTTGGGGTACTTAATTTTTCTAATAGTTTAGCATACTTTATTCCTTAGCATACCACATATTTTTCTCTTGCGTATCACCAGTTGAGAATCGCTGCTCTTTGGGATTCAGGTAAGGTTATATAGCAAGCCTTGGCAGATGTGGAATGGTTCCACTCTCATGGATGTGAAAGGTATTTGAAGAATGTGGATGGTATTTTTATAATTTCAGTAAGATCTCTTCCTCAGCAGAAATTTTCTTTGTAATGGCATTACAGATCATTATTTTTCAGTAATGCTTCAATCTGAACCTTAGCAATAAGGTTATGTGCATAAAAAAAAAAAAAAAAAAAAATCAAGTACTATGCAGGTAATCCATAAAATGGATAGTCCACATACGGATAATTGGGAGTTAAGTATAATAATAATAAATGAAAACAAAACCTAAGAAGTTTTATTAAGTTTTACAACATTTAGGTTTCTACGTTAACAGTGCTGTAGTTTTGCATTTCAAAGAAGTATCTGACAGCTACAGAACTGTCATGAATATTTGCTTTTAGCCATAATTAAGCTTGATAAATTCTATTTCAGTTGCCTTCTTTGGCATTCCATGTATTTCCCGCAAAGATTTGCCTGAAAGAAGTATAGTTTATAAGTCAATGTAAAACATTTTATGTTTTATTATATACATATATGCTTTCTATCATGTTAATGTAGATGTTTCTAACATTTTAACCTTTTTGCGATGGCGCACCTTTGTTTAAGATGCTCGTGCGGGACGGAAGGGAATCGACCGCAGTCACCATACAAGACGGAGGTTTTGCATCGCTAAGCCTAATTTTATTTAAAAAAAAAAAATCAGAAAAAAAAAAGTTTTGCTTCTAGCATCTTAATTTTTGGTATCATTTTAGATTATTACTTGTGCTCTTATATATGTTAAAATTAGCAATTAATAACTTTTTTTTTCTTTATTTTACATGGAAATATACTTTAAAAATGCTTATCTTGTAAAATAATTTTCAGAAGCGCTATTCAAATTATTCCAAAGTTTTAATTGATAAAATCCATCAATAAAGTTTAAATTAATAAACAACACAATAAAGACTATTTACATAAGAAGTAACAAATTTAAATGAAGACTGTGGTAAATCTGAAGTACAGAGAAGTATCACTTTCTAACTCTTTAGAAAGTGTCACTTTCAACTATTTAGAATCATCACTTTCATTTGCATTAGTGAATGGTTCACTAACCATACAAGGGTATTCTTCCTCTGATAAATAGTGCCTTCCCGCAATAATAGACTGAAGGTGAGGCTTTCCTTAATAAAAAGTGAAGAAACGGTAATATATCTGAAGACAATGCAAAACGTAACAGAACTCCACACAGTAGCCCTAAAAGACCATACATTGTAGAGGGAAAAAGTAGAATAAAAAAAGGAATTCGATATAAATCAGACACAAGAATGTTTTCATTAGCACGCAGTGATTTAAAGAGCTCACCTCTGATAAATAGCGCCTTCCCTCCGTAATAGATGAAGGCTTTTGAAATAAAAAGAGAAGAAACGGAAATATAACTAATGGCAATGTAAAATGTAACAATACTCCACATACTAACCCTAAAAGACCGTACATAGTACATAGACATCACCTCTTTCCCTTCACCCCCCCCCAACCCTCGCAAGAGCTGTAAAATACCAAAGTCAAGCAGAATATATCAAACTCAAGGTCAGGAACCTAAAACTGTGTTCATTTCAAAAGTAATGGGCATAGGATGTCATCTAGTGGCCTTCAGAAAAATGTTCCACCTTAAAATGCATATACGCATCACCCGTCCTCTGAATGCAATCTCTAGGGATGTGTGGATGGGACGCCCGGCTGTAAGAGACATTCTTAGGGAATGCATATATGAGATGCCCATCCTGAAAGGGTTAAAAACAGTGTTTATGTAAATTTAAGACAATTCTGCTTTAAAATTCATAATATTGCTTTAAAAATATTTATTTGTAATTACACAAATAAGGATTGAGAATTTTTTATTTTATTTTATTTTTTGTCTTGTCTAGGATTATGCACCTGCTCCAGAATATGAAACTAATTACTATCGATCTGAGCTAGCTAAACCTAATGACTCTGAAAACAAACTGTATAAACACTATCAGGATTCAAAAGACCTTAGTGCAGTGGTGCGGGATGTGGCATTGCGACAATCTGGGCAAGGTAAAAATTTTGTATAAAATGTTGGCTAGATATCATAAGTAATTTTAAAATATTGTATTTTTAAAAATGCTTGTGGAAACTAGAAATGATAGTGTATAAAGTTTTCAGCCTTTTCTTATAGTTAGCAATATGGCTTGCATACTTTTTAATAAGAGGCATAATCATTAAAAATATTTATACATTTTAAAAACTGACTGTGCCGTATAGTATTTTGAGCAAGAACAAATTTTGGTTAAGGGGTGCCAACACATAACCCTTTGGCATTATTTGACATTTGTGTGCTGCATCTTAGGCAGTTAAGTTTTCCAACTCTGACACCTGAGGTGACCTTTTTAACAAGGAAGTTCCCAGATTTTATATAGTAGAAAAAAACTGTAATATTTTGTGTTATTGTTAATTGGAAAGTTATTAGGTATTTGCTGAGTAGCATTTGATGTTTTTCATTATTATTATTATGGAATGTTACTTTATTCACTACTGAGCCTTGTAGACAGTGGCAGTGGCATAGCTAAGAAACAGCATGTTCTGCCATGGACAGCACATTTTTTAAGGAGGATGCATTTTTCTGTGAAACATAAATTTTCAGGAGATTAATCATATATCATTGGAACAGAAAGAAGAAATTTATTATTAGTGAAGAATTGCATGGTGACAGTTGTGTTACAAAATTGAACTGGAGAGAGAAATGGTTTTTACATTCAACAGATCATTAAAACATTCACAAGGAGATTTTCAGCAGATTTATGTTTTTGCCATGTTTTGAAATTATTAGTCATTGAAATTTTCATATGAAAAATATGAATATCAACTAAATTATGATCATGATGGTCTGAATAAGAGAGAGAAGTACTGCAGAGCTTTATTTCTTTAAGAAAGATGAAACAAAAATGCAGAAATTAGATCTTTTGAATTCTCCCCCTTTTTGATCTAAAATACATTCATCAGAATACAGTTCAAAATATACTATAAATTGTAATATACTGTAATAATGCTATAAATTTTACTCACAACTCCTATGTTATGAGGGCAAATTTTCTAAATAAATGTTTACTAATAAAAGTATCCAAGATCTGAAATTAGTACCATACCTTTAAGAAATCTTACTATACATTTTACTGAACAGAAACTGGAGTATTAAAATAGATTTCTACAATGTTGATAAGAGAAAACAAGTAGAATGGCATTTTAGAAAATCGGAATTAAAGTTTGAGTTGAAAGATAAACAGGAATAGTTGATTTTATTTTAAGTAATTAAATTATTATTAAGACAATAACCATTTACTAGCTTTTTAGTGTGTATGGAGACGGCCGACAAACTCCGAGACCATCCCTGGCAGCAAAAGTTTTGGCTTACGAGTGTAGAAACATTGTATTAACATTGTAAATACCATGTAACATGTATGTAGTGTTGTACTGCTGTTTGTTTTAATATTTTCTAACAGCATTTTGGACCACATATCACTGTATGTGTTCAAGGAAAATGATTATGAATTATTTTTGCAGTATACAAGCCAACATATATTGAATAACAGTAAAAAGCTTCATTCTTTCTGTCTTGATATTTAGCTAAATTTTAAAAACTGATTTTTTATCCTCTGTATAAACTATAGTGTTATCTATAATTATATATCAATATATCTGCTGATTAACTATAATTTTTTTAGAATTATATATCTGTTGCCTTACTATACTTTTATCTATAATTATATATCAGTATATCTGTTGATAAACTAGAGTTTTATCTATAATTATATATCAGTAAATCTTTTGATTAAATATAGTTTATCATCTTCCTATTTACCATTTATTTATTTATTTATTTTACAGCAAAGTGTAATAATTAATCATTTTTAATAAATTTGCATCTTTTTAAATTTCATTATGTCTCTGAAATATTATTATGTATTAAAATATTTTTTGCTAAAATATTTTCTGAAGAATATATCTATAATTTATAACAATTTTTCTTTAGCATCAGCAAATGATGAAACTCTTACTCAATTGATGTGGCAGCAGCTTCAGAAAGAAGGATCTGATGTTGAAGATTTTCCTTACCAAAGATTTGTAAAATACAGCATGGAACATGGAATTATGGTTCTCATTGATAAGGCTGCTGGCCTTCCGCGTTAGTAGAGAATTATAAATATGTAAAAACATTATATTTTCTTATTATGGTGTAGAGACATTAAGTATTTTTTTGGAAGCTGGCAAGATGAAAAATATGCTACGCCTTTGCCAAGAATCGAACCTTGAACCTCTGGAATACGCGCCTAGCGTGCAGACCACCACGCCAAGAAGGTGGGAGAAATACCTTATATACTCCCCCTTTTTAATTTCTAGGGTACCCAATCGCCAAATCCTGGGTGAGAAGAATCATCATCCACAACCCTTTTAGTTAGGGCACCACTGTAGAGACATTAGTATTTTTTGGAAGCAGGCATCATGAAAAATTAGCAACGCCTTCGCCGGGAATCGAACCACAGACTCTGGAATATGCGCTCAGCGTGCAGACAACCAGACCAAGAAGGCGTGAGAAATACCTTATAATGGTATTGCATTTTTTTAAAGAATTCATATTAACTTTGTAAATTTTCAACTGTTTTTGGTCATATTTAATGAATTCGTATATAATAGATAAATTAAAGTATATTATTTATTAATTGAATTTACATCTATAAAAATATAATTAGGAAATTTGACAGTTTTTAATAATAATCTTACCGCCTTTCTTTTCAATCTTCTAAAATTTAAGCTCATATGTTTCTTAGTTATCCATTTCTAAGTTTTTCAAAATAATGCAAAGTTATTAAATTCTTTTAGGTACCAAAAATCTAATTTTAGCATTTCAAAATTTCTGAGCTGCCAGGTAGTGCTGTTGAGCTTGAGGGGTCAGTTGAACAAAAGTATCTACTAAATTCAGTGTCAAGCTACTATTTTGTGTTACTTTTTATTTTAAAGTACTACTCATATAAATTAATTTCTTCCTACTTGGAAGTGTTATACAGTCAAAAGTCTTTAATCCGGACGTCCATAATCCGGAATGATCTATAATCCGGACCTCAAAGCTACAAACTTTCTGCGCATGCGCAAACGCATAATGTGTTTACGTATGCGCATAATACGTTTATGCATGCGTGTTTAATGTATAACGGACGGTATAAGCTAAGCTAAAATGATCTAATTATATATTTCAGTTAATGTTGCAGATTGCATTGTTCCTTAATCTTCTAATTGGATCCGGCTTATTATTTTTTGCAGACTGTTAGAGCAATTTTATAAAAGCAACCTTGAACTTTCGATTATGTCAAAAAGAATTTCTGATTCTGGAGCTGCCAAAGGATCTACAAAGCGAAAGCATGTTTTGATGTCCATTAACCGCTTCCCTTACAAATTTTTTTGAAAACAATTGCAAAACATCATCACATTTTTTTATTTTATTATTAAATACAACAAAACGAAACAAATCAAAATATGTAGGTTTTAAGTTGAATTTTTAATTTTTTGAAGGTATAAAAGCATTTATTTTTAATATTAGTTTACTATCCCGAGTTATCTCAGGCAAACGAAAAAAAGTTAAATATTAATCTTTGTATGATAGTTTTTGAAACAAGGGACAACACAGAGTGATACCTGACGTTCTACACTGGTGTGTGGTCTCTTTTCTTACTGGCTTACCACTGGAATCTCTTTCACGGGAGCACAGAGTACACTTTCTAGTTGGACTTGATTTCCCCCGCCCCCCACCTTTTCATAATTACTATCTGAAAAATCATCGCTTTTGCTATCTTCCATCATCGCCATTATTTTATTTTTTTCCAACGCATGCATCCTTCTTTATACATTACTAATCCACAAGCCAACGTATACTATACAATAGGGAAACACGCGACCAGTCCCTCTAAAAAAACCGTGCAACCAACAAATTTTGGCAAACTGCCAATCAAAGCTGGATATTTCCTTTCATTTCCTTCAGACCGAGTAAAACCGTGATAAAAGAAATCGTACTAACAAATTGTGCTTCCCCGAGTTTTCTCAGCATAATAATTAACTGCAATATATACGAACCCGAGATAACTCGGGATAATCAGGCAAGTGGTTAAACAAAAAGTGGAATTGCTGCAAAAAATGGATAAAGGCATGAAGAAAGTGACAGAGAGGTGATTTATTTCTTTAACCATTCCGAAATCTGTTTATCAATTTCATGCTGCTCTTGGGGGGGGGGCGTCGTCGCGGCGCTTAATGAACGGGAAGTTGATCTCTCAGCACTATCCTTATCTTCAGGGCAGATGTTTTTATTCTATTCCGCTTATAATTCTTTACTAAATGTAGTATTTCATCTCTATATACCCCGTCTTTGATATGATTTAAATTCAAATTCCTCGTCATTATAAATATCACAATCATAATTGCTCTTTATTTCATAAATTACGGTTTCATATTTTTAATTTTATAATTTCTGCATGCCATCTTACCAGATTTAAACTGATGATCTATAATCCGGAATCGCCGAAGTCCCGACGAGTTCAGATTAAAGACTTTTGACTTTACTACTTTTAACCTCCTTTTATTAATTAAAAAAAGAGAAAAAGTTTTATGTTTTGCCCTCAATTTGAATTGCAGTTTACAGAGCACTGGTAGTTAACTAGTTATTTTCTTCTGATAATTATTACAGTCAAAAGTCGTTAATCCGGACTCGTCGAGACTTCGGCGATTCCGGATTATCGATTTTTCCGGATTATAGATCATCAGTTTAAATCTGGTCAGATGGCATGCAGAAACTTATAAAATTAAAAATATGAATTGGAGATTTATGAAATAAAGAAGCAATTTGTGATCTAAAGGGTATCAAAATTTACAAAAAGAAAAAGCTTAATATTTATTTGTTTACTTTATTAAACATTTCCCTCAATGTAAGTTGCTTTCGTTTTCATTGTGCTAATACTTTCTCTTTAATTCTATTAAACAGACATAATTTCTAATTTAGTTACAAAGTTCCGCTGTTCAAGTCCTGGATATTGCTGTGTTGAGAATACTGACTAACTTATCAATCGAAATGTTTTTCGTTTTCAATAACCTCTATGTCACTTTCTTCACTATCGGAAGCGAATTATATGACGAGGAACTTGATTTAAATCATATCAAAGACAGAGTATATCGAGATTAAATACTACACTTAGTACGGAATTATAAACCAAATAAAATAAAACATCTGCCCCTGAAGATAAGGATAGTGCTGACAGATCAACTTCCAATCCGCCGCGTGAAATTGATAAACAGATTTCGGATTTCAAAACATACTTTCGCTTTGTAGATACAAATTACATATTAGTAAATATATATCGGAAATTCTATATGACATAATCTTTCTAATCTATCATAATCTAATAATGACGTTTCTGCCCCCCCCCTCTGCCGCAGAGCAGCGTGAAATTCATAAACAGATTTCGGATTTCAAAACATACTTTCGCTTTGTAGTAAATATATATCGGAAATTCTATTTGACATAATCGAAAGTTCAAGCTTACTTTTATAAAATTGCTCTAACAGTCTGCAAAAAATAATAAGCCGTATCCAATTCGAAGATTAAGGAACAACGCAATCTGCAACATTAACTGAATTAGATAACTTTAGCTTAGCGTATAACTCCATTACACATTAAACGCGCATGCGCACAAACATATTCGCAGCCGTAAGGGTCTTACGCGCTCTCGTAAACGCCTCTGCGCATGCGTGAACGCGACGCATGCGCAGAAAGTTTGTAGTTTTGAGGTCCGAATTATAGATCATTCCGGATTATAGGTGTCCGAATTAACGACTTTTGACTGTATTAAATAAATGGACTAATTTTTTTTAACTAACAATTTTCTATCTCTGGTAATGTTATGGAAGAAAATCATGTACGCTGCAGTAATATTTATGACCTATTAATGGTTAAGTAAGTGATATTTTTTAGTTTGAATATATCTATATATTAGTATAGTGGAATAATCATGCATGCAGCTGTTTCAAAGTAGCATGTTGAGAATGTGTAATCCTTCCCATAAATCAGTCAGTTTAGTTTATTATATCTCTATATATTTCCTTTCCAGTTTTCCTCGAAGGTAGATATCTTCAGTGTCTTGTACAAATATTTCCTGGTGAAGACACAAAAATTGGAACTGGAAAGAACCAAGTGATTAATTTTCTCACTGAAGAACTAGAGTTAGATAGTCCTCAGAGGGCACCTGATTGGTCAGATCAGCCTAAGGTATAGTTGACCCAGTTATAAAATTTCTTAATTTTGCCTTCAGAAATACAGTGGTTCTTTGAATAATGGATACAATTCATTTCAGGACTGAGTTCGTTATGTGAATCATTCACAGTGCTGTTTTCAGTTAATTACCAGAGCTTCTTCTTGAGCCCAGTCAAAGATTATGAAATATCATAAAACAGTTTCAGAAAATATTAAATACTCTAGTATCAGAAAAGAGAAGGAACACCGCACAAGAAGTAATCACACAGTGTTAAACCCAGACTTCTTGGTAGCTAACATACCATTACCATGTTCTGCTTTGTTTACTGACCAGTCCAGTGCTAAAGCAGATTTTTATCCATATCATACCATGATCTAAAAACATTACTAGACAAATATATATATATATATATATATTTGCAAAAGAATTATATATATATATATATATTCTTTTGCAAATTCAAGTGCACAAAATGGTTTTTCTACTTGATTATCTCCACTGTTCATCTAATGTCAAAAACATCATCTGATGCCAACGTCATAAGAACAAATTAAAATTAGAAGGTTGTAAATTTGAACACTTCCTTTATAAAATTGTACTAAGTGTGTTCTAAATTAAAAGAGACACCTTCTAATTTATAAACAATTAATCTGCCTGTTTCTTTTAGCTAATCCTGCATTAAAGAAGTTGTGTGTTTCTGTGATTGATTTCCTGTTCATTGTCTTTGTTTATGCTCATGCATTTGCCTATTATTACCTGTTAACAGAATACAAATTATTATGAAAAGAAATTTAATGTGGAAAATATTTATGAATGGTTTTTGATGCAAAACGATTTTTGAATTGTCTGGAATATTCATTGTGTGAGACATTCGTTATGCAAGGACTGTGTACAGTAAAATTTCTAAACAAAGATGTATTAAAAGTCGAGGAAAAAAATATTCTACTGACGCTGAATTTTCCGCTAGTAAAATAAATGGAGTTTTGCTTAACCTTTAAATATACTGTTTTCTGAACGTATTTTGTACGTACTTAATTTGTATACATATCTATTTGTATTTTAACTAGAAAAAAAGATTGATTTTAAAGTAATTTACATCTTTTTTCAACAGAAAGGAAATTTTGAATATTCTTATTTTGTATATTTTTATAAAACACTTTTCGTGGAATTTTAATTGTGTTGTGAGAAATGAAACACAATTGAACTTCTTACCAAACTTAACAGACTGAAAAGAGCAGTAAAAAAATGTTTGTGTTTAAAATAATTTAACTTCTCGAAAAAAATTAATTTTTAATTCTAGATTTTGATAATGAGTTAATCTCATCAAAATTTGAGTAATGTTAAGTTCTACTGTAGCTGCAATTGCAAGAAAAAAGAATCCTTTTTATTAGCTTCATTTTGAAATATACTTTTGTTTGTGCTGCCTTTTATCTAAAGATAACTAATAATAATACTAATAAATAAAATATTGTAAATATTTACTTAGTTTTTAAAATTAATCAATTTACTTGGAAATTATTTTATGAATTATTATAATGTGTTATGTTGCTAATTTATAATCCTTAAAAAATAAATCTTTAAAATTTCCTTTCATAACTGCAGAAAATAATCATAATTTTGTGCTAGAATATTAAATTTTGTTAATAAGTTGACATAAAGAATCTTTAAATATAATTTTTTCCATTTGCTTCTTTAGTATTTTAGTGGTAATATGTAATCTTATTCTTTCAAGACTTTTCTCTTCAAGTGTTTAAAAGAAATTGCTTTTATTTTAAGTTAATGCATAAAAGTGTATATTGGTATTTTTTTAATATGAAAAACTTCATAGCAATGTACGACAATTTTTTATGCATATTTATGTCTTAAGTATTTTGATAGCTAATGGATTAAAATTCTTGTTTATTTTCAAGAGATGGAGGAAGTTTTTTTTTTTTTTTATTTATTGTTAAAATTATTATAATTTTTTTTTATTTCATCTCATTTTCTATAATAAATCCACTGCATTTCATGCATGTGAAATTCTGCTGTTGGAAGTTTTCAACACTTTTTAGGTTAATATTTCACTTTGGAAGACTGTCTACAGTATTATTAGGGCTTTACTTTTGGAAATTTATTCCGTTTTATACTTTTTTGAAATTTGTATCAATTGGTTATATTGTGTGCGTATTAACTTGAATATAAGACATTTTAAACAAAATATATGTAAGTCTTTAATAAATCAGACTGGATCGAATGTAAAGTAATAAACAGAGAGCGTTATTCCACACAATGTTTATTGATGAACACCAAAGACAAACTGAAACACATACATATAACTATGACATCACAGTTTCTTTGTACAAACACTACCGCCATCAATTGGCAATCAGAGGATACACAGTCATAAACTGAACATATTTGACATCCTTAAAAGGCATTTCTGAAAACCATATTTGTATTTATATAAAAGTCTGTTAAAATATTTATTAATTTTATTAACTTTTACTTTAAAAGAAAACTTTACTACTATTTTATTTTTGCATAGTAATTTATTTTCTTACTACTTGACATCTCTGCTTGTACTTAGAATTCATTGTTCCTTCCTTTCCAGCGAGTTACTCCTGAATATGATGGCAGAGCCTTTATACTGATTTCACTGTATGGATTGAGACCAAAGTTTGATACATCTTCTGAGAAAGTATTAGATAAGGGAGGAAAAGACCCCAAATTCAACTTGCAACATGCAGTAGCCTGGGGTATTGCAACTTGTTTTGACAAGTTAGTGTGATAAAACTGTGCATGATTTTCACATTTCAATTTTTAAATGACATTTAAGGTTCTTAGATTTTGGCTTTGGTTTTTAGATTCTTATTCAATCAACTGATTGAATAAGATTGCTGCACAAGAAAAATTATCATTGATTCTGGACTATGCAGTTGAATAGGTTAATTGCATGAAGTTTACTTTATGTGGCAGAAATATGAGCCAGTTTTTCGTGGAAGGTTCTGCATGAAGTTATAGTACTTAAAGCAGATATATATCCAGTGCTTTGTTTTATTGATTAATCTAAATTAGAATGTTATTCATAATTTTATGAAGTATTTAAAAAAATTATTCCATACAAACTGTGCTATTAATACCACATTATAGTATACTGAAATAAGAGGAAATATATTAAGTTTTTTTTTTCATGTGTCAGAAATATTCTATATATATATAATATATATTCTGTATACGGGAGACATTTATTTCTCTGTGACTGAGATGATTTACATTGCTAGGTGATGTCACAGTTGAATGAAAACTGTGGTTTCCTTTTTCAGCAAGACAGCTTTTCAACTTGTTGTCAGTGAGGCTGTTATCAAAAACATTCAGAAGAGTATCTTGATCAAAATTTGCCACATAGTTGGGCAGGAGGATTCTCGAATTTAGTCCAGTAAATTTTTTTTAGATGGTGGGTTTTTTCCCCCTCCCTGTGCCTGCATTGTTTTGTGTTATAGAAATACTTGTATATTGTTATATAATGAAATTTTTTGCTATATCATAAAATTAGTTGGTTATGAGTATGTTATGACTATTAGAAATGCTCCATGAAATTATAAATAAGCTTCTATATTTTTTTTAAATGCAATGGTGTATATATATATATATGTAGAAAATAAAGAAATTAAAAGATTAAATTAGCATGAAAATTACTCCTTCGATCTAAAAAAGTAACCTCTATTGCACGCTATTTGAGAAAAATCTATGTCATAGATTCTTTGTAATTTGATGTTAAAGAACTAAAACTCATCACCAATACTATTTTAAGAAGTATAACTATCCGATCAAAATGCATTGAGAACCAAAACTAACTCAGTCTGAATTAAGGTTTCACCCTGAACATAATGCACTTGCTTACTACGCTTTAGCATGTCTGGACTGCTGTATGTCTGCTCCTGCTATCTTACTGCAAATTTATCTAAAATGTCAGCTTTTTTAAATAGGCATATTTAATGTGCCAACTTGTTTGTGGTTGCAACATGTTTACTGAAATAAAAATTCAAGATTTAATCTGCCTTCACCTTCAATTTCCTATTGATTATGGATCAGAACTTCTATGCCGTCAAAATTTCTGCTGATAATTACTTCTAAGTTTGTTTTTATCACATATATATACATGAATAATAAATAATGTAAGATACTTATTTGATGCCTCTAAACATTCTAAACATGACAATCTGTTAATATGCTTATAAAAAAGTTATATCAAAGTATAGAAGCATAGAAACTTAAATACTTAATAGTTTTTGTCATGCTACTGCCATAGAAGATATATAATTTTCAGTAAATATCATCAAAATATTCCTTGTAAAAAATAATTTATTCAAAATGTAACATAGGTAACTCACATAATAATTCAGACACTCAAAATTTTTGTTGAGATATTTTAACACATGAGTTTTCTTGTTATAATTCTTTGTATAAAATGAAAATGCATCCCAAGAATTGTTGTCTGTATTTGGAAATTACCATTCATTCAACAAAATATATTAAAAATTCCATATTTGAAATGAATATGCCAGGATGCTATGGTAAAAGTGTTCAAAACATCTAAATAATCCTTGATGTTAAGAATTCAGTTGTCTTTGATGTTGTAAAACTGTAGAAATTAATTCTAAATAGTTGAAAATCCAGTGAAGTGTGGACCACATTCCAAGTTAATAGGGAGGAGTCAGAGACTTATCCTACAAAAAAGTCAATCCTGAAATTGTTCCAAGAACC